ATAGCAACACTAGGTTCAACTTCGATTTGTTCAGAACGTTTGGGTGTTCTAACATAACTTTTGTTAACCACAGTTGAAGCTTTAGCATGTTCCTTCATCCTAATTGGAAAAGGTGGTTTTTCAATATAAGCAGTGGGAACAACTAGATCAACATTGTAAATGATAGTTTCTTCTTTAGCTTTTATCGGTTCTTTCACTTCTTCTTTGATTGGTGGGTGATATTTAAACCACTTCTCCTTAGGGAGATCAACATGAGTAGCAAAAGATTCACAAAAGTATGCTACTATCTCAAAGTCAAGTCCATATTTAGTGCTAAACTTTCGGAAAGCATCGATATTCATAAAAGATTTAACACAATCAAACTTAGGTTCAATACTTGACTCTTTACCTTCGTCGAGTTCCCAATCTTCAGATTTGCATTTAATTCTTTCTAAAAGATCCCACCGGAATTCAATAGTCTTCTTCATAAAAGAACCAGTACAAGAAGTATCGAGCATGGATTGATCATTATGAGAAAGCCGAGCATAAAAATTCTGAATAATAATTTCTCTCGAGAGCTCATGATTGGGGCATGAATATAACATTGACTTAAGCCTCCCCCAAGCTAGAGAGATACTTTCTCCTTCATGAGGCTAAAAATTATATATATAATTCCGATCACGATGAACTAGATGCATAGGATAAAATTTCTGATGAAATTCCAATTTCAAACGGTTCCAGTTCCAACATCCAATATCATCGGATAGCCTATACCATGTCAATGATTTCCCTTCAAAGATAAAGGGAAAACTTTATTCTTAGCTTCATCTTCGGGCAAACCTGCAAGCTTAAAGAATCCACAAATTTCATCCACATATATCAAGTGCATATCAGGATGTTCGGTTCCATCTCCTGCATAAGGATTAGCTAGCAGTTGTTCTAACATACCCTAAGGAATTTCATATTCAATATTTTCAGTGGGTGCAATAGGTTGAGGGGTAACTAATTGTGGTTCTGGTCGAGGTGAAGATACCCAGAACAAACACCTCAAAGGATTGTTTTCCATAGTAGCAAGTGACAATAAATTTCAGCACGTAGTAATAATGTTTCCTTACCAATTTACACTTACCAAGAGTGCTTCACTCCTCGGCAACGGCACCATAAAATTGCCTTGATGACCCACAAGTGTACTGGGTCAATTGTAGCTCTTTTCGGTAAGTAAGAGTGTCGAACCCAACGAGGAGCAGAAGGAAATGACAAGTGGTTTTCAGCAAGGTAATGTCTGCAAGTGCTAAAATTGTAAGTAGCGGAGTAGTTTGGTAGCAAGATAATTTGTAACGAGCAAGTAACAATAGTAGTAACAAAAGTGCATCAAGGTAGCCCAATCCTTCTGAGGCAAAGGACAGGCCAAACGGTTTCTTATGATAAGCAAAGTCTTCTTGAGGGTACACGGGAATTTCATCTAGTCACTTTCATCATGTTGGCTTAATTCGTGTTCGGTACTTTGATAATTTGATATGTGGGTGGACCGGTGCTTAGGTGTTGTTCTTACTTGAACAAACCTCCTACTTATGATTAACCCTCTCTCAAGCATCCGCAACTACGAGAAAAGTATTAAGAATAAATTCTAACCATAGCATTAAACTTTTGGATCCAATCGGTCCCTTACGGAATTGCACATAAACTGGGGTTTAAGCTTCTGTCACTCTTGCAACCCACCATCTAATAACTACTCCACAATGCATTCCCTTAGGCCCAAATATGGTGAAGTGTCATGTAGTCGACGTTCACATGACACCACTAAGAGAATGGCAACATGCATACCATCAAAATATCGAACACATATCAAGTTCACATGATTACTTGCAACGTGATTTCTCCCGTGACCTCAAGAACGAAAGTAACTACTCACAAATGATAAAAATGCTCAAGATAAGAGGGGTATTGAATAGCATAATGGATCTAAACATATAATCTTCCACCAAATAAACCATATAGTAATCAACTACAAGATGTAATCAACACTACTAGTCACCCATGGGAACCAATCTATAGTTTTGATACAAAGATTGAACGCAAGAGATGAACTAGGTTTTGAGAGGAGTTGGTGTTGTGAAGATGTTGATGAAGATAACCCTCCCCAAGATGGAAGAGTTGTTGGTGATGATGATGACAATGATTTCCCCCTCTGGAGGGAAGTTCCCCCGGAGGAATCGCTCCGCCGGAGGGCAAAAGGGCTCCTGCCCAAGTTCCGCCTCGAGGCGCCGGCACTTCGTCTCGAATGTCCTCCCCTTATTTTTTCTAGGTCAAAATGACTTATATACCAGAAGATGGGCACCGGAGGAGGGCAGCACCCACCAGGGCGCGTCTAGGCCTCCTGGCACGCCCAGGTGGGTTGTGCCCACCTGGTGGCCCTCCTCTGGTACTTATTTGCTCAAATATTACTTAAATATTCCACAAAGAATCCTCGGGGAGTTTCAGCTCATTTGGAGTTGTGCAGAATAGGTAGCTTGACGTAGCTTTTTCAGGTCCAGATTTCCAGCTACCAGGATTCTACCCCTTGGTGCATACCTTGCATATTATGAGAGAAAAGGCATTAGAATTACTCCAAAAAGCATTATTATAAATAAAACAACATAAATAATAGTAGGAAAACATGATGGAAAATGGACGTATCAGTCAATAGGTTAGTCCCAGAAAATGATATAAAGTTGCTATAAAATGATTGTAAGACATACAAGAATGATAATATAGCACCATGGAACAATAAAAAATTATAGATACGTTGGAGACGTATCAGCAACTCGCTCCCCAACGGGCTTGGTGGCGGCGCGAGGGCGCCGCCCAGGGGCACCTCGGGCGCCGGGCGCCGCATGGACCCTAGCGACAGCTCGGCCTGTGACGGCTTTGTCCTTGCTGGCGTTGACGCGCTGGTAAAGGAGTCTTCATGACGCGCTGGTGGGCTCGGCGATGACCTCTGCCCTGGTGTGCCGATCCGTCCTGATCCTCTTCCACCAAAGAGGAAATGCTTTGGGACTTGCTTTGGGGGAGACAAATGTCGCCGCTCCCTTATCACCAACATGAAAACTAGGTTTGGTCATGCTCCGCCGTCCTCATCCTGACAGCGGGACGCCATCCATGTGATGGCCGCCGAGCCCCGCTGCTGGCGCCGTACGACCTGCCTCGTGAGGCGGTCTCGCAAGGGGAGCCTCACGAGGCGGCCCGATGCTTAGTAGCCACGGCAGGGCTCTGCCTGGCGACAAGGGGCCTCGCGAGGCGACTCCCCGCAGAGCAGCTGGAGCAGGACCACCTGCCATGGGCCAGCCAAGGTGTCGACCTTTGGGCCAGAGGCAGACGGACAGTGGTTCCCTGGTTCCCACTGGGCCGACAGTGGTGAGTTCATTTCACACTCCACCCCAACCTATGTAGAACCCACCAGATCCATTCAGTTTGGAAGATTTAACTCTCCACCCCACCTCATTCTCCCTAGTCCATATCCATCTAGAACCCATCAGACTCCTTTGATTTGAGTTTACTCCCTACTCCACCCCAATCCCTCTTATCCATTTAGAACCCACCATGCCCCTTAGGTTTCCCCGTAAAACAGTAAATAAGGCAGTTAGGGAGCCTTGATCCTCACACATGCCTCTACACGCATAACGATAAAACAAGCAAGTTGAGTAAGGGCATCTCCAACAGTCGTAAGATAGGTGTTGGTTAATTTGCCACCTAGGACATAGTTATGATTTGGCATGTAATAAATATGGAGAGAGAGCAAAGTTGTATGTAGATTAACCAACAACCTTTGCACAAGCTCCAGGGTGAAATAGAGAGCAATCACATTAATTTTCTCACAATTTATTGGATAGCTTACATACAACCTATTGAAATAGTTGTATGATAGCTTGTTGGTTGATGACATGGACATTTTACCAATAAGACTAACATACAACCTGTTGGAGATGCCCTAAGTATTTACGCTGACATGGCATAGTGATGAGGTGGATAGGCTGCATGACGAAAGAAATATAATAGTGGGGATGAGCTATTTAGGTATTATAGATACATGTTAGTACGTAGTTCTTTTATGATGACACAACCAAACGAGGCAAGCGATCAAGTGCAAATAATTCCTGCCGTGGCTTCTCCCCAATATGCATCCACCAATCGCCACTCTTTCCGACCCCCTCCACCAGTCGCCCTTTGTCCTAATCAACACAACTATGGTTTTGCCGCTACAAATCGGTGCTCGCAAATACAGTGTTGCTTGCTTGCTTGAGTTTCTCTTTCCAGTGTTATAAGTGCATTGATTGTGATATATACTATCAAATTTAATTTAAGTAATTTTGCGATTCATAGAGCGGAAAGAATTATGGCAGTACGGTTAATTTTAGGATCTTCATAACCAGCTAACATTCTCTGAAAGGGCATGACAAACAAACGGTTTTATGGCAGTTTACGTAGTCGCAAGTTTTTTATCGGATTTGCCGTGCTTGTTAAAGGAAGTTGCCATCATCACGACAACGTCATAAAACATTCGTTTTGTCATGCCCTCCCAAGGGAAGCACTTAGCCAAATAATAATTCACATTTTTTAAACCATGTATGTGAATACACAATCCAACGCAACAATCATCCCAATCTGAGTAGTGCACTGTGACGTCCTCCCAAGGAATCCCTATCCTATCGGAATCAGATATTTGACTTGAGTTTTCTGATCACCGATCAGCGAAAAGAAGCCATAAAAAGGCAGAAGAAAAGCAGAGAAAAAACAGAGAGGAAGATGCTCGAGCCGCCCCATGGCGTGGTTCGAACGCGAAGATATTCCTGCCTTCCGCAGCCGTACACCTGTAGCCATCCTCCAACCAAACCGACGGCCCCGATCTCTCCCTCCACCCGTCGACAAAAGTCCTCTTCCGCCGAGACGCGGGCCCGGACCATCTCCGGCCCCACCGTCATCCTCAGCAAGCAGGGAGGGTAGGCAGGTAGGTGTGGCCGGAGCACGCGCTGTCAGCGCTATAAATGCGCTCGAACCCTAGTATTCGGCGCGAGCTTATCACTTATCATCATCAGCGCCCCTCCGTCCCTCCCTCCTCCTGGCGCGTCGTGATCCATCCAGCCCAGGTGAATTCGGGGGATCGATTCAGTTCCGAATTTGGCCGAGGTTTCTTGATTTGGGAGCTTCGAAGCTTAATCTCGTTGCTTGGATTTGGTTTGCTGTTGTTCAGGGGCGAGAAGCTAGTTAGCGGGTGATTAAGGTCGCCATGTCGGATTCCGAGGACCACCACTTCGAGTCCAAGGCCGATGCGGGGGCGTCCAAGACCTTCCCTATGCAGGCCGGCGCCATCCGGAAGGGCGGCTACCTCGTCATCAAGAACCGCCCCTGCAAGGTATGGATTTTCCTCGATCCCGGCTGGATGGTTGTGTGTGTGTGATCGCAATTCCGATGCTGCTCTTCATGGCCGCCGTACTATGAAGGAATACTGATTTTGTTATCTCCGCACGCTGCTATTTCTGTTTGAGAATGCTTGCGAGCTGTCGTCGGATGGTTCCGTTTCGTATCAGTGTGGATTGACTTGTTGACATATCGGTGGTGACCCCAAGGAGAAGGGTGGAGTTGTTATTTATAGGGGAGGGGAGCTATTTTGACCATGTTCGCCACTATCTGCCACGTACTGTACACGATTAATTAGGAGGGTCTTGAAACAGGGGAAGCTTTAGCTACATGATATACTATCCCCTTTCCTGTGATCCAAAAAAACAAAAATCATGTGATGGGATAACTTGTAAAATACATGTTTTATTGTACAACTAAACTTGCTAACGTCCATTATTCCTGTAATTTTAATAATATTTTCCTAGTATTTTGCGGGGTACGAGAAGTAGTTTGATAACCAAAACGGGATTCCCACTCGGGCACTTTAAACTCTATATATCTGTACAGTGGGTGATTTGGCTATTCCGTGTCGGAACTTTAAGATTGTAATCGAAGTGTAAGGGGCACTGTCGACATGTTTGGATGGAATATGATGGAGATTTTAAGCTTCCTGCATGTACATAGACCTAACTTCCGAAGGAAACAATACCTTTCTTTCTCAATCTATCTATTGCCTTGACTTATCCAAACAAATCATCGATCATAAATTTGTTCTGTTGTAATTTGGAAGGGACAAACAGTTAATTGACTCAAAAGCTAAAACTAATTTATCCATGTTTATCTAGCTTGTTGTGCCAATGCGATTGCTGTCCTTACCTTTTTAGTACATATTTCTTCACCTACTCCTGTGTGTATGTTTCCTGTAAGTTCTGACGTCTGTCATTGTGATCAGAATACACTTCAAGGCTTAAGCCTGAAAATATGTGGTGCTTCTTTGACATTAATTTTCAAGTCTTTTATCTTATCTCGTTGTGCTAAATAAACTTGTGCAACAGGTGGTGGAGGTTTCTACCTCGAAGACTGGAAAGCACGGTCATGCTAAATGCCACTTTGTTGCCTTAGATATATTCAATGGTAAAAAGCTTGAGGACATTGTTCCTTCATCCCACAACTGTGATGTAAGTTTATTTTATCAATGTTTAATAAAGAACTTTGGTTGGTTCAGTTTTACAGATAACTCACTATTCTATATATTTTTAGGTGCCACATGTGGACCGTACTGAGTATCAGCTGATTGACATATCAGAGGATGGATTTGTACGTTCTACTAATCAAGAAAAATGTATTTTTATTGTGCATAATTATTGGCCTCGATACTTACTATATTTTTTGTTTTAGGTGAGCCTTCTTACTGATAATGGTAGCACTAAGGATGATCTTAAACTCCCAACTGATGACGCTATCCTGACCCAGGTTTGGTTGACAAATCTTTGAGCATCTTTTTCTTACTTTTGCATGTGGTTATCCGTGATAAGATGTGTCCTTACTCATTTGTTAGGTTTGTTATGCTGTCTTCTTTGCTTTATAGGAGTTATATCACCCCTTATTCTGAGATAGTTCTTTCTATACTCCAAAATATCCTGACCGGTGTTGATATTTCTGCAGTTTTGTTTGTAATTTATTTTTAGCACAACAAGTCACATCTATGATTGATATCTTTTGTATTTTAGTATTTCTGAGTATCTCGATTTATTGATTTGATGTTTATATAAGTAGTAGGAACTTTTAGACACTGCACACTTCTGAAATAGCTGCAATAAGAACTAGAGGAAATCTAGACGTTTACTCTTCCCACCTCTCTGTTTATACTAGTATTTATTATCATCTGTTTTTCTTTCTTCTGGTCGTGAAAGGCCGACTTCACCATGGCCCTACATGGTTGCAGTGTACATCTAAGCCAGTAGCCACACTAAAATCTTACAGCCGAGGCTGTTCTGGTTGTTGCTCTGTTTTTTGGTGTGGTGCATGTTACATTCCTCTTTCTTCAGTATATGAATTATGAAGCGCATACAAGAATAAAACTCTGATGTTTAGAAGTGTTCTTGCTATTTCCTTTCCACCTCTGTTGTGCTGAACACTTTACTTTCACTTCATTGTTCATGCATCTCGGTCTGCTTGCCATCCATCTCCCTCGAAGCACGTCTGATTTTTTCTGTCAAATTGCACTGTAACCGTGATTACTTTTGCTGCTTTATCATTTATGCATTGCAACCACGTATATGCCTTAGACATTACTAGTAAGTACAGTAGTACTTCTTATGAGGTATAAGAATGTCCAAATTGCTTACTGGGTAAAAATCTGCTTGTTAATTCAGCTCAAGGACGGATTTGCTGAGGGGAAGGATCTGGCGCTGACGGTCATGTCGGCCATGGGGGAGGAGCAGATCTGCGCAGTCAAGGACGTGGGCCCCAGGTAACTTCCTCGGAGCGAGGGCCAAGATAAACGGAGGGATCCATTATCTGTCAAATTTAAGCTAAAGAAAGACAAAAGTATTAAAGAAGGAATGCTATCGAGTGAGACATTCACCTAAGCCGGAGTCAAGTGCAGTGATTGCTGGGTGTAGCATATCTGCTTACCTCTACCTATCATCCGTGACATTTGGGACCCTTGTAATATTTCCTATGGTTTTATATACTCCGGCTTAAATTTAAGCCGGAGTATGTGCTTGGTGTCAATAATTGATTGATTTGGGACGGTGCAAACTGTATGCCAGAAAGCACGCCTGGCCATTATTATTGTGGATTTCATGATACTACAAGGCTTGGTGTTCAGTTTCTCGTTAAATCAAAAAAAATCAAGTTACTACATATTGAATCTAACCACTATTTCCTTTTTTTAATCTAACCAATAAACTTGATTTTTTTTGTTTTCAAATTTGTTCTACCAAAAACTGTTCATTTTTCTTGGGATAACAAAAACTGTGGCATAACTGATGGTCAGGTCATATGCCCAATAGTTGGACGGTAATTTGCACCGTAGTCGATCGGCCTTCATTCTCGCAGTCGCAGTAATCCTGCCAAGCATAATGCAACTTGCGAGTTACGTGATGGAGACGCGAGGGATGGGAAGCAGCACCGAGCACGCACGCCACCGGCGCATGTTAGGCCGACCAGACGGCTGCGGATTCTGGCCACATTTCCGTTTCAAGTCGTCAAGGTTGCTGTGATCTCCGCTGCACTCCAGTGCCGCCAGTTGGCATATGGCGATCATCCACTTGATCTAAGAGCACCTCCACTCGCTTGGCCCTTCAGCCCACCGGTCGGCGCTATTTTGGCCCTTCGGCCGGCGCTTTTTCGTCCCTGGGCGATCTAGTTTTCAGTCACGTTCCCAGAAGTCGGCCCCAAAACGTTATAAATTCAAACTTGGCATTTTCTGCTACCCAAGAAAACGCCACAAGTCCGGCGATCAGCGGCTACCACATGTTCGGCCATCACAAAGCCACAGTTCGGCGAACAATCACTCGAAAGTTCGGCGTTCAAAAGGAAGGGCGCATAGGCAATGCATCAAACAACGGCGTTGTCCTCCGGCGTCGGACTAGCGGGGGTTGGCGAGCGTGGGCTGGTCGGCGTCGGCGCGGCTTCTGTGCTGGGCGTCGTGGAGGCACCATTGCTCGGGCTTGGCGGGGGCGTCGGCGTTGGGGTCGGCGTGCGAGTTGGCGCAGTCGACGACGACATCTCGTTCAGGATGAGGCCGCGCTCCACCAGGTACCACGCCTTGACCTGCTCGTTCATCGTCCACATGTCCACCCCCATCAGGAATGCCAGGTCAGTGTTCCTCTTCTTCGCGGCGACGTTGGTCTGGAGTAGGTCAAGCTTGACGGCGTTGTTCGTTATCAACGCCGACCACCGCGCCTCAGATTTCGCTTCCCTCTGGGCGGCGTGGTTCTTGACGTCGGCTATGCACTGCTCAATGGACGATTGAAGCCGCGCGATAGCCGGGGCGGCGTCCTTCGCTGTCTTGGCTCGTTTGTTGCCGTCTGGGCGCCCATCAGACGCGCCCGGCATCGGCGCGTCCAGCTTGTACGTCTCCTTGGCTTTGGCGAGGGTGCGCCGGACGTCCGCCCTCTTCTCGCACTTCTCGATCCAGGAGAACACTTGGAGGTACTTGAACTCTTGGTCGGTGCTGCTGTCCTGACGGTACATGGCGAACATCTGAACCATTTGTGCCGAAGAACAAGTGTCGTCGGCGATGCGCACGGTGAAAAGGAGCGAGAACCGGTGATAAGTAAGACCCTAGGTGCGTGACTGGACCGATTTTTCGGCGCCGGCGCCAAAAAAAGGGCCCTGGGCCGTGTTGGGGACGTGAGTGGAGATGCTCCTAAGTAACAGGTCGATGTCATTTAACTGGTCGCTTCAAAGATGTTTTCTTATCAGTGTTAAAAAGAAAGGATATTTTTTTATCTGTTTATGTGAGTGGCATGGCTGGCCAAGGATGCAAATCGATAGCCCTTCTATTTTTATTTTATTTGCGGGAGTGGTTAGTTCAATCAAATAAAAAAGTTTTCAAAACCCCTTTTTTTATTCAACCAAATGAACTAATATTTCAAAATCGCATCACTCTTACTCACAAATATTGGTTGTAATGATATCTTATATTATGGGGCGGAGGGAGTAGAATTTCAGCTCATTTGATTAATCTAAGTAAAGTTTTTTTTGCGAGGGAATCTAAGTAAAGACATTAGTAAATAAGAGAGCGGCGATGGAGCGGACGGGCTCACATGCTCCGGTTTCGTGGATCAATGGTATGGCTCGCATGTCTCGTCGGCATTTATTGGTCGAGGAAATACGATTGCGCTATGAAAGAAAAAGTGGGGCCCAACGACAATGTCGTGCGTTGGTTTTACTGCGTATAACATCATGTTCTCACGGAACAGGAGGGGGAGGGATGCATGTACCGACGAATGCGGGGAACGGAGTCGTTGAATGGGGCGAGTGGAAAAAACTGTGATCCCAAAATTAAAACCCATTACTTCGGTCGGTTTTGCACTTCCCGATGGAGAAGCCAATCCCATGGCGTCGAGCGGATGTGGATTGGAATTCCTCTTCGATTGCTTGACATGTATTCTTTTCGCAACCTGATTTTGATTCCTTCTTGGATGCGGTCTTCTGTTAGGTTTCCACCGCCGGCGATTGGAGGCAGAGAGCAAGCCGCAGCCTTTTGGGGTTAGGGAGATCACGTCGCCGGTCCAGCCGCTCGCAGATCCGTTGTACGCAGCGTCCGAGTCCAACCGCTCGTAGATCCGTTTGGGGTTAGGGAGGTAATTTAGTCGTCATAATTTCAAATTATGTGGATGTGGCGCCCACAGCGATTGCTGCTTTGCATATGGACAGACTGATTTGTGTAGACCCTAATTGTACCTGTCATGCCGTGCTATGCCTTTGTCAGAAATAATGAAATGCACCTCCTATGTGCAGGGTTCATGTCTGTCTTTGAAGGTTTCTTAATGTTGAGGTCCCGATTGTCGTTCATGCATAAACAGGCGTATACATAGAGTCCTGGTATTTGGTGTCATGACCACATGTTGTGCATCTCTACTTGGCGATTTGGTGATTTTCATGGGTTTGCTGTGCGTCTCTGTTATCTCCTCAAGTTTATCAAGTTGGTATGGTTAGAGGGTTAGCAGGTGTCCCGTCCATGAAGACGATGAACAACCACATTGTCAGGCCAATACCGCGAGTACAGGATGGGGGCACTCGGGCTTGTGCGGCAGTTCATGTCGGGCTAACCGGTCGGCAGTCCAACACCAATCTAGGAGTGCGAGCCAAAGGAAGATTTTGCTATGAATTGGTTGGACTTAAGAGGAGTGTACGTGCTTGTGTTCTCGACTGGATTCGAGTAGTGCGTTCTCTTCTGTACTGCTGCAATGACGAAAATGACAATTTTGAGATGAATTGCAGAGTTCATGTTTGGTTCAACAAAAGCAGACTAGATGTTGAGGGGAAAAATGCATGCAGGAAATCATATGCGGATGCTCGGTGAGTAGTGCATGAATCAAGTTAAGAAAACATAAATCTGCTGTGTGGGATTCACATGTCGATGACATCCTGCGTGTCTTTTTTGTTACAGGGTAAGGCGAAGAATACAAACACCAGATCATGCAGGTGTGAATGTCCCGCCAGGATACAGCTGCAGCATTCAGACCAGTATGGCCAGTACACTAGTGAACACATGCCGGGCCATAATCACACTCTTACCGACAAGTGTTGCGAGAAGATGCACATTGACGTGTATGCATAGAACCTCATACGGCAGTTGTGCGACAACAATGTAAGTATTGGGAAGTTGGGCCAATATAATAGTGAGTTTCTTCGGTTTGATGAAGAATATCCCATTCAGCAAGAGGGCGCTCATAGTGCTATGTGGCCAGATAAGTCGGCCAAGCAGTCAGCACGATGTCATCAGGAAAATAATGGAGGTTTTTGCCGAACTTGGGCAAAAGACCAAGGTTTGTATTACATGGTCCAACCAGAGTCGGAGAGCCGGATCAGGAACAAGCTGATATATCTACATGATCGAGCTGAATGCAGTACAACTTTTTCAGGGATGCAATAGCAGTTGACACAACATTACCAAACAAACTTTTATGACATGTTGTTCAGATAGTTTGTCGGTGTGATTCCAAAGCACAATTTGTTCCGGCAGGGGTGAGATTCCAAAGAAGCCAAGAAAGGAGGCAAGACATACGAAATGGAGTCGGTCAGCACCGGAGTGGCAACCCTAGTGTGGTTCGTTACAAAGTGCCGACGGCGGACGGCATTTCAGAAGGGAGGCTTAGATATAGGCATCTAGAGTGTTTGTGATTTTCCCCATTAATTCCGCTTCGGAAATAAAACTCCCAATAATTTTTTCCTTTGTCTGTGTTTACTATTTTTTCCGTCATTGTGATGTGGTGATGCTGTAACTTAATAAGTTTCATCCCGTGTGTGGCAAATGTGTTATGTTGGCATGCTTTCATTATCCATTGGTTTTGTATGTCATCTCTACTGCTAACTGGTACCATCGTAGGCATGAAACGGTTCAAAAAATGAAAACCAGCATAGGCATGAATTCGATGCTGGTGTGGTTAAGAGAATGGTGTTTTGGAGCTTGGCCTTCATGGGGGCTGAATTTCAAAAAAATCCAAAATTCATTTTTTTATTTCATAAAGATCTGAAAAAAATTGTACAAGTAAACAAAGGATGTGAGGCGTATGTGTGTAAATTTTTCGGATGTAATGCGTTGAAATGCGACATGTACAAAAAAGACAAATTAATGATCTAAGAGGATGAATAGTATCATGTGTAAAAAACCCTCAGATTTGTCCTTTTTGCACAGCCCTCATTTCAACGTAATTCATTTTGAAAATTTACACACTTGTGCATTATGCCTTCATGTATCTCTGTATTTTTTTCATAATTTATTGAAATGTAAAAATAT